AAAACATTACTTTTAAGGAACATTAATTTTGCAGAGTTGAGCTGTAAAAAGTAAGGAAAAGGCAGAATTAAAGTTGTCTTTGCAACTCTAGTTTGGCACACTTGTGCGTATGCATTAAGATACAGTCTTTCATTACATGATAACATGCTATTTTCTCCCCAGAATAGACAGTGCTCTGAATCAGGGCTGTGGTGTGAAGGAGGTGGTTATCTGTAGGACCCCTGCCTCATTTGTTGCAGAAACTGTGAAGTGTGCTGTGTGTGAGGTAGGGGATTGCAGAAAGAGAAAGGAGGGTCTCTTGTTAAGGCAGGTGAATGCTGCCCTGGGGAATTGGATTCTATCCCTGCCTCTGCCACAGAGTTTCTATGTGATGCTTGGCAAGTCCCTGAAACCAAATCTTTCACAGGTGGTCATTAATTGTGTGTTCCTCATTTTATGGGTGGCCCCCTTGAGACCATGAGCATCCGATTTGAAGAAGTGCTGAGCACGCACTACTGTCAACTGAAGTCAGTGGGAGCTGTGCTAAACAAGCCTAAGTCCTCTCAAAAGCCAGGACGTGGGTATCTCAAGTTGGGCACCCAAAATCAGTGGACGCTTTTGATACTTTTGGCCTTAGAGGGTCTCTGGGCTTTGGTTCCCAATGTGTAAAATGGTGATAATAACAGTTCCCTACCTCCCAGGTGTTGTCAGTTGTTGGCTGTGCGTGTTTTCTCTCTGTGTGTGTTTTCAGCTCTGCACAGATAGCTGACGCAGCAAGCCTTGACCAAACTGCCCAAGAAGACCACAGACTCGGTTCAGTGGCGAATGCTCGTTCAGGTTTATTGCTGACAAAGGACAGTACTAGCTCCCCGGATCAATGTCTACAGTTACACTGGCACATGTAGGCCCCTTACAATGGGCTTGGCTCAGTGAGTGGCGAGACTTTCCACTCCCCACTCACCCCCTGCACCCAGGCCAGAAAAAGACCCCCCCCCCCCCCCGTGACCTGTCTTTTGTACTGTGATAAAATCAAGTTACACATTGCCCCTCTGACGTGGCTAGTAACCACCCTTGACCTTGTCCATGTTGGTTTGACCAAAATGTCTCTTTCCATCACCCTGTCACCCTGACCTTATCTTTAGGCGGGAGTAATTTTTTCCTTTCATCATCCTTGGGGAGTGTGTTTACACCATAACCCTTTGTCAGGGGTTCTGGTCCCACCCTTCTGGAAGGTGTTTATGCACGTGCCAGTGCCGAGCACTTCTCATGAGTGTTTGTGGTTTTGCAACACCAACCATGCCTTTGCCAGGTTCATGTTCTGGACAATGGACCCGCACGCACAGTCATGAAAGGGGCTAATGAAGGTTTCACAGGCAAGTGCAAGTCTGGCATTCTGAATGTCTGAGTGCTTCACTTTGTAAACGTTAACTTTCTTTCTGATTCATAGCTGTATAGATTTTAAGGCCAGAAGGGAGCATTAGATCTAGTCTGACCTCCTGGGTAACAAAAACTATAGAATTTAAACCAATTACTCCTGTACTTCATCTGAACTTGTGTTTGGCTGAAGCATATCTTCCAGAAAGGCACCCAATTTTGTTCTGAATACTTCAGGAGGTGGAGAATGTTCTGCTTCTTTTGGTAGTTTATTCCAATGTTTCATCAGTAGTACTTGAAGCATGTATGCCTTGCGTCTAATAGGAATGTATCTGTCTTTAACTTCCATCCATTGGTTCTTGTTATGCCTTTCCCCACTTGATTGAGAAGACCTTTACTATGCAGTGTTTTGTCCATGTGAAAGTATCTAAACACTGAAATCAAGACACGTCTCGGTCATCTTTTTGATAAGCTAAACAGATTGACCTCCTTAAATCTCTCACTGCAGGCACATTTTGAAGCCCTGGAATCATTATTGTGGATCTTCTCTGCACCCAATCCAATTTTTTAACATCCTTCTTACAATGTGGGCACTAAAAGCAGATGCAGTAGCTGTCTCCCCGGTGCTGTACACAGAGCAAAATTACCTCCCTACTAGAGCTGGTTGGAAATTATCTGGTAAACTAGAGTTTCATTGGAAAATGTCAGTTTGTTGAACTCAACATTTCTCATGAAAGTGAATTGGGGTACAATGAACTTTCTCAAAGCCACAAGCATTGTCTGGTTGAAATGTCCATGGTTCCCTGCCAGGTTCCCTGGTGGCTCCTGTTAGTCCTGCCGTGCAGATTGTCCTGGGGCTGGGTATTCCAGTCTTCTATGATCTGCAGCTCTGGGGCAGCCCCACCATACAGATTGCTCCAGAATTGGAGATCCTAGTCTTTCTAGGGTGTGGGCTCTAGGGCAGCCCTGCCAGTGCTTTCAGGCTCTCTGCCATGGGATAGGAACCTGCAAGCCCTGGAAGCCCCAGCTCTAACCAAGGCTCGGCTCCAGGCTCTGCATCAGGGATCCTGGAAGTCCCGGGATGGGTTCCGGTGTCCCAGGGTCTGTGGCAGCCCTGCCTTGCCGAATGTCCTGGACTGGGCTATTTGCCTATTTTGGCTGCCAGCTGGCCAAGGAGTCTGGAAGCTCAGGGGTCCCCAGTCCAGGGCAGGCCACATGATGAGGCTGCCCCAGAGCCCCAGCAGTGGCTCTGAGAAATTGACATGCTTGTCCTGATGTTAACAGTGGTGAAACTCTGCATCTGTTGGCGTTCCTGGGAGCAAATTTCATTTTGGATACACCGTGGGTTGGAGTTTCCAAAACAAACTTTTAGCCGGATTTCCAATTCGCAGGAAATTTTAAAATAGTGACATTTCCTGTACACTGGAAATCCTGCATTTCAGCCAGCTGCACTCATTGCTCCCCTCTTTATACATCCAAGGATCACCTTTGCTGTTTTTGCAGCAGCATCACACTGGGAGCTCACGTTCAGTTCTTCGTCTACTATGACCCCTGCAAAGAACATGGGCTATATCTGTACTTCTGTGAATATTACGTGTACGTCAGTTCCTTTTAGTGCTATTTTCACATTTCCTTCTGGGGTTCAAAGGGCAACCCCCGTCTGAGCTCCCCACATGTCCCAGGACGGCAGACAATGGTTTCATAGAACCCAGTTACTGGTACTTAACTGACAATACAGGTGTCAGAGCTTTTGAGCTTTTGCATCTGCCCAAGCTAAACACAAGCCCCCTTCCTTGGGATGGGCCCCTGAGGTCGGAAATCTTAAACAGAGAGCCTGGGAATTGTTAACAGGGGAGCCCTGAGGAACAGAGGGGGTGAGGCAGGGTCTGCCGGGAAGGAGACTGAAACACAATCCCCAGAGGCAGGGGTTCCTGGGATAAGCTGAGTCAGCCCAGGTTTTGAGGGAAAAGGTGAGCTTTAGGTAAGGTATAGGCCTGTAGGCCGTCAGTTGCTTTCTTCTTTTCCCTGTGGTTGCTGTGTTCCTATAGATAAATAAAAAATAACACTGTCCTGCATCTGGTACTATTCAATATTTTCATAAATGACTTGGATGATGGAGGAGAGAATACACTGACACAATTTGTGGGTGACATGAAGCTGAGAAGGGGGTCACAAGCTCTTTGGAAGGCAGGGTTAAAATTCAAAATCATAGAATCACAGATTCATAGAATATCAGGGTTGGAAGGGACCTAAGGAGGTCATCTAGTCCAACCCCTGCTCAAAGCAGGACCAATCCCCAACTAAATCTAAAATTAAAATGATCTAGATATAATGGAGAATTGGTCTGAAATCAGTAAATTGAATTTCACGAAAGACAAGTGCAAAGCATTAGACTTAGGAAGGGAAAATATGGAATAACTGAGTAGGCAACAGTTCTGCAGAAAATGATCTCAGGGTAAAAGTGGATCACAGACTGAAATGCGTGATGCTGTTGTGAAAAAGGGAAATGTCATTCTGAATTGTATTAACAAGCATGTCATATGTAAGACACAGGAGGTAATTTTCCCACTCTACTTAGCACTGATGTGGCCTCAGCTGGAGTACTGTGTCCAGTTTTGCTCGTCACTGTTTAAGAAAGATAAGGACAAATTGGAGAATGTCCAGAGGAGAGCAACAAACAGAGTAAGAGGTTTAGAAAACATGATCTGTGAGGAAATGTTGAAAGAATTGGACATTTTAAGTTTACAGAAGAGAAGACTGAGAGGTGACCTGATAACAGCCTTGAAATAACTGAAAGATTGTTTCTCAATTGCTGTCCAGATCCACCAAGGGTAGGACTAGACAATCATTTTAGATTTCAGCAAATGAGATTCAAATTAGATATTAAAAAAAAACCCTTTCTAACTACTGGGATAATTAAGGACTGGAAAGGGTATTTAGGGAGGTTGTGTAATCCCCATCATTGGTGACTTTGCACAACAAGTTAGACAAACGTCTGTCCGGGTGGCCTAGGTATACTTAAACCTCCCTTGCTGTGAGGAGATGGACTAGATCACCTCTTGAGGTTCCTTCCAACCCTACATTTCTATTATTCTGTGGTTTTATCAGCTATTCAGACCTGCTGATACGAAAAAAATGTTAATCCCTGATAAATGCCATTTAACATGCTCCTTAGGTACCAATAGATTGGAGAGAAATTCATTGTCTTCAGAGATATGAATAGACATCCTGCTGCTGTCCAAAACCAGAAATGTGTATTGAACACCTCTGCCTTTTCTCCCTCATTATTAACAATTTTACCATCTCCATTTCTCATGGGCTTAAAGCATTGTTAGGATTTGTTTGTTTGTTTGTTCCTAATATACTTAAAAAACTCCTTATTTGTCATAGTTCTCCCAGTCACGGATTTTATCCTGATGTCTTTAGCTTCCCTTACCAGTATTCTTCATATAATAACTTCTAATGTCTATTGATTTGCTCTAATTCCCACTATTTCCATTTTTTAAAATATATTGCCTTTTTATTTGTATTGCTGCCTTCACTTTGCCACTGACCCAGAATGAGCTTCTAGGTAATGTTTTATACCAGTGGAGCACTCCAACTCCCAAAGCCCCCTTTATAATTTTCAGCCTTCATTGACTTTCTAGGACACATTAAGCCCCAGCTGGTTGGAGGAGACGGTGCCTGCTCAGGACGTGCGGAGATAAAACTTGGAAACACATGGACCACAGTCTGTGATGCACATTTTGATCTGCAAGTTGCCAACGTTATCTGTAATGAACTACAGTGTGGAATAGCTGTATCTACCCCAGGAGGAGGTCACTTTGGAGAAGGACAAGGGTTGATCTTAACTGAAGAATTCCGGTGTGTGGGGAATGAGTCTCTCCTATTCTCCTGTCCCAGGATATCAAAAGTGAATCAGACGTGCTCACACACAAATGATGCTGGTGTCATATGCTCACGTAAGAATTCAGCACAATGTCTTTAAAATCCCAATTCTGTGTATTCTAGGTTATAGTGAAGCAATGTACTGATCTAACTGTGTAGGGATCTGGGTTTGGTAGGGTTGGATCAAAACCCCAAACAAGCCAAGATAATGAGAAAGGGGTCAAGTGCCCCTGACTTTCCTTTCTTTTACTATTTGCTATAAAATATCTTAAATGCTCCTTCTCTAAACTCCTTCTCCCTTCTCCCCTGGGCACACAGGGTTCCGGCTGGTGAACGGCAGCACAGCGTGCTCAGGGAGGGTGGAGATCCAGGTTCTTGGTGCCTGGGGAACCCTCTGTGACTCACGCTGGGATTTACCAGATGCCAACGTTCTCTGTCGTCAGCTCGACTGCGGCTTTGCTGTATCAGCCCCAGGAGGAGGGTATTTTGGGAAGGGAACTGGCTCTGTCTGGACAGACACATTTCACTGCAAGGGGACTGAAATCCATTTGGGCCATTGCTCTGTTACTGCCCTGGGGACCTCTCAGTGCTCACACGACAATGATGCCAGTGTGATTTGCTCAGTTAAGTGCAAGAGAGATGCTGGATTAAGGACACCTGCCCCTCAGTGTGTGATGCTGCCCCAGAGTAGGGGAACCTCAGGACACAGCAAGGGGAGGGGGAGCTAGATCCTAAAGCACATAAAATAATAGTAAATGTATTAAAGATAAAATACAAGTAAATAACATCATCACAAAAAAATAGTTGTGACTGGGGAAAGCCCTGGATTCTCCGGTAAAAACATCAGCAACTCTGTCCTCATGCAGGGCAGCGGAGCAGGGGCAGCACTTTGTCCTTCGGGTTACATCAATGTCACCGATTTATTGTCCCTAGCCTTCTCCAATAGTAATTAGAGGGGGAGCTGGTAGTGACTCCCAATATGGAGCTTGCTTCACACTTTCTATGATAAAATATTCTCGGCACCTTCTTGAGAAGCTCTTGCACCTTCCTTGATTGCTGGAGCCTTTGCAATTTGGGAAGGGGTCAGTGCTGGGGCCAGGGAGGTGCCTTCTCCTTGTGCAGTCAGATTCCTTCCAGGTTTGGCTGAATTATAAACTGCTGAAAATCAGCATTTCCCTTCTCTCACATGAGTTCCTGGGGGTATTTTTGGTAGCCCACCACAGAGAAAGTAGTGCTTTCACTCACTGAGGTTTTTTTTACTTTTTTCACACTTTTCCAACTGAAAAAACTCCAAAGATTTTTTCCCCTGCTTTCTTACTTTCTTACACATTTTTACCTTTTTCTAACTTTTTACAGTGGAAGAAAAGATGAGCAGGGGATTGGACTAGATGACCTCCTCAGGTCTCTTCCAATCCTAATATTCTGATTGTGTGAAAATATAGGAAGGGGGAGGAAGTGGCAAACCTGTACATCCAAAATCTGGAAAGGAAAATTGAATGTTTCATTTTCCAAAAGTTGGAAAGAATCGATATATTAGTGAGAGTCTAAACAAAAAATTTCATTCCATTTCCACATCCCAGTATCTCAGATCTGTTTAAAAATTGAAATACTGCATTCAAAAAACATCACAGGAAAAATTTTGAGTTGTTGACCCGTTCTAATATTTAGCTTTTATAAAAATAAATAAAAAAAATAAACAGCATTATTTAGTTCATTTAGTCAAAGCCAAAGGCACAAGAATTAGAAAATACCAGAATTAAGGTTATCTATGTAACGTTAATTCAGTCCCCCACCCTCCCTTCTGCATATATATTATGATACATGCACATATTCTATTATTCTCACCTACCCCCAGCTCCTGCCTCCTTCAGTGCACAGGGAGGGTGGTGCTCAGGGGTGCCCGTCAGAGCCCTGGGATCCAAAGTCATGTGATAACCGAGCAGAAGAGACCCATATTTCTTGCACTGGTAATTCTGAAACTACCTGCATGCGCGTGTGCACACACACATGATCACAATGTGTTTAATTAATTGAAAGGTTAGGATAGAACTTTTGTTGTTGTTCACATCTCAGTGTAGGCAGATTTAAATTCTCAACACAAGATACAAACATATTTTCATGATGTTTTATAGGAACAAGCATTTGTCTGATTAACAACAAACATGGAAGTTAATCAATTAATTTTAAAAGAGACCGGTGTTGGACGCTGCGATAAGGTAGTCTGAGAGCCAAGAAAAGCCTCTCCCTAGAGACCGACATTAGGCAGCTCTGTAGTTATTAATCCTTTTGGGATGAACTATCAGAGATGGACCCAGGCTGTGCAGTTTGGGTCAGAACTGGAATCTCCCACAAGTCTGGGTGCATGTCGGCCTGTGTGTCTGAGTAACAGCTGAATAGCAAATTAATTAGGTATTAAATGACCCAGAGTTCACATTTCAGTTTTTTTTTTCATAGACATTTAGGTCAGAAGGGACCATTTTGATCATCTAGTTCACACAGTGCTGAAATTAGGGGTTTAAAATACATATAAATTCTACTCCCACATCACACACACAACCCAGTGCATTCACCTCAGCTTTTTCTCTCCATAGGAAAAAAACCAAAACCAACTCAGACCCTGTTTGCCGAATGCCCGAACTCTCCAAGCTGCACAGGTATGTCTGCTTCTCACTGTCTCCCTCTTGGTCCCTAAGTTGTCCCAGTAACATGTGAGGTTTCTGCATTTCTAGACCAGGAGAAGTTACGCATCGTGGGAGGAGAGGACAGATGCTTGGGGAGAGTGGAGGTTTGGTACCGTGGCTCGTGGGGAACAGTTTGTGATGACTCCTGGGACATGGCGGATGCTAATGTATTGTGTAAACAACTGGGCTGTGGATCTGCTCTGTCTGCCCCGGACAAGGCTGCATTCGGCGAAGGGACTGGTCCCATCTGGGTGGAGACTTTGAATTGCAGAGGGACAGAGTCATCTCTCTGGGACTGTCCTGCCAAGCCCTGGGGTGAGAGCAACTGTGGTCATAAGGAAGATGCTGCCGTGAATTGCTCAGGTGAGTGACAGGAGATGTTTCTGCTACATGCTGTAATATTCAGAGAGAAGGATGGTTTAGCCCACCCATCCCCTTTGGTCCCAGACCAGGCCCTCCCATCTCCTGTGTGCCGGAGCATCCTGGATGTTGAGGGGTGGAACCTTTGTGGGGTCAGACTGGCTCAGGCATCAGCCGACATAGCCCCTGCATCCATCACAAGCCCCACTGTGCTGGTTTGTTATGAGAGTCCTCATTGCTGCACAGAGCACAAGGGACTTGGGCCCTAAATCACTAACAAACAGGCCCAGTGCTGCTGTGAGGGAGTTTGTGGAGGTGACAGCTGGAGACAACCAGGGACTCTCAGAGGTGAGGATCCCCCCGGGAACAAACAAGTCACCTCCCCCTTGCTACAGGTTCATAGGCTCCCACGACTCTCACAGGCTAATCTCTCCCTGTCGCATGTTCATTTCCATCCAGCTCCCCCGCGCCGCCCTCCGACCGACAGTGGGAGAGTCACGGTGCCCGTGGTCATCTGCATTATCCTGGGGGCCCTGCTCTGCCTGGTCTTAATCATCCTGGGGGCGCAAGTGCGAAGTGCCAGGGCACAGCTCAGAGGTGGGTCCTGCTTGGTGTCACTGTGTGAAATGCCTCTGCAATAGCAGGGGGGCTGCAGGGGGTCAGGGTGAGGGGCGATACCAGGCTGGGTGGGGTGGCCAAGGGTGCCTGTTAACGCCTCTCTCTTTTACTATTTCATTAACTGTCTGGCAGTGGAACAGCCCAGCCATGAAATCTGGAGATGATACTGGCTAGGGACCTTTACAGTTTCAGAGAAACGGCATCTGTATCCCCCCGCCCACCCTCCAGTGATCCACTCCAGGAATGCCTACTGAGGCCTCCTCCCATCATCTGTCTCTGGGTGGGAACCCCCTGTCCCATCTCCTTGCGGCCAGGGGGCTTTTAAGACTGCTCAGCCCCCTGCCTTCCACTCTGATACCCCCAGCAAACCAGTCTGCCTACAGGCCAGCCCCCATGCTGTGCTTTCTCCCCAAGGGCTATGAGCAGGGCATTGCCAGCAGTTACAAGTTACCACCCAGCTCTCTCTCAGCAGATTACACCTTATTCCTAGGTTAAAAGTGTGACAGAGAAAACATTAAAAACAATAAAAATTCCTCCACACTTGCTGAACATACCAGAATTCACCCATCTTCCCCATGGGCAGCCTGGTAGACCAACATCCCTCCAACGATTCAGTGTTGGGATCCCCATGGACAGAAGGTCCTGCCCATTGCAGAATCAAAATGAAGGCCCTGAGGCTTTTTAAACTCAGCCTTTCATATCAGAAGTCCTCCTTTGTCTCTTGGTCTCTGGTAACCCAGTTTGAACCAGTCTGTATAAACCACCCTGAAGGTTTTTACCTTTCTGGAGTTGTTTACAATCTCAGTGATTCACCTTAATCATCCACCCACCCACCCACACACACACACACACTCAGTGTTTTTTCTTCCCGGAGGAGCTGTGCTAACCCTCCGACATGCAGTAGAACATAAACCATTCATAGCTTTAATACAGTGATTCCCAAAGATACTGCCTGGAGCTGCAGTATCTGCCACAGGGAGGGGATCTGAATATCATGAGGAGAGACATCATGGAAAAGGGACCGAGAGAAATTGGAAATATTGTCAAGGAAAAAAGGTGTATAAAAATAGACCTGTGGTAAATAGTTGTGAAGAGAGTGATCCAGTAGAAAAGACAATCTTAGGAAGGAAAAGTGTGGGAAAGGAGCATTTTACTGTCTTGTACTCAAAGCTGGCACTTGTCGGGGATTTTACATCTATAACACACTTTATACAAACATTAGCGACCAGCTCCTTGGCAAGAAGATAGAGGATGGGACTGCCATCAACATACATGTAACAGTCACAACTTTGCAGTAAGACAATGACTATAATTAGATCTCTTGCTTCAGGGCTTCAGCCAGTGACCTGCAGGGGTCAGGAAGGAATTCTGGGAAGACCCATCTTTGTGTTTTGTTTTGCTTTGTTTTGTTTCTTGCCCTCCTCTGAAGCATCAGACTTTAGCTACAGAGGGAGCTGTGACACTGGATGGGCTGGACCAGTCCTCTGAGGTGATACAGAGAAACCTCTTTCGAAGATATCTGGCTGGTGTGTCTTTTCCACATGTTCAGGGTCAAACCAATTGTCATAGAATCATAGAATCATAGAATATAAGGGTTGGAAGGGACCCCAGAAGGTCATCTAGTCCAACCCCCTGCTCGAAGCAGGACCAATTCCCAGTTAAATCATCCCAGCCAGGGCTTTGTCAAGCCTGACCTTAAAAACCTCTAAGGAAGGAGATTCTACCATCTCCCTAGGTAACGCATTCCAGTGTTTCACCACCCTCTTAGTGAAAAAAGATTTGGGGTCAGGAAGGAATTTTCCCCCAGGTCAGATTGGCAAAAAGGGACCTCTTCCTCTGAAGCATGGAGCATGGTTCCCCCTCCTCAGTGACACAGGAAAATTCAAACCTGTCTGCAGAGATCAGCTGGATTCACACAGGCCGGCTCTGGCCTGGCAGTGCCCGTGTTCCAACCTGTTATCTCAGCACAAGCCCAGATCCTGCTCCCACTGAAACACGTGAAAGAGCTGCTGTTGGATTCTGCAGGGACAGGATTGGCCTCTTGTTATTTCTGGGACTCCTGTTTTACTGTAGTTCTCTGACTTGTGCCCCTCTCACCATGGGCCCCTGAGACTTCCCCTCTCACGTGCCATGACAAACAGCTCTAGTTAGAAGGGCCACCTGCACTGAAGAGACGCTGCTGGTGCCATGGGCTGAGTGTGGTGTTTGCTGTTCCAGAGGGAGTTTCCCCAGGGGGGTCTCAGCTGGATTATGATAACGTGGAGGAACCTGCCTTTAACAACGTCCCCCAGACTCCAGACAGCCGAGGTGAGCAGTGAATCCGCCTCCTGGAAGCAACGTCACCCTGACGAAAAACTAACTGTATTTCCCAGTAGGGACAATAGTGGTTTGTTAAGAAAACCAGGAAGTTCACCCACCAGTATTGTCTATTGGCGTAACGCTGGGGGCGCTGACCAGGTGCATGACAAGAGCTGTGTGGAGGCCCAGGGGTAGGGAAGTATGTGATGTCCTAAGGCATAATAAAGGCCCATAGCAGGGACTGAAGGAGCAGTTTGCTCAGGAGCTGCCCACGCTGTACTTGGCTCAGGTCACTGCCCCAGCTTATATACATCTGTGTCAGACATGCTGGGCTGGGCGGGACATAGAGATTTTACACCCAAGGACCCATGTCCCAACCTTATTAGCTGGCTCAGCACCCACTGGTGTCAGTTTATGGGGTAAACTTTATCAGGAGAATGCACTGAAAAGTCATTTTTAAAGTAATGTCAAGTTTAGGAAGCCGGGGACAAGCTCTGGGCAATTCCAAGTCATTTCTGTTTGTCATTATTGTAACCAAATGCCTTGTGGAGCAACCCCTCTGGACTAGATCCCAGTCCCCCCTTTCTAGACCTCCCCCCGCCCCACACTTTTAATCTGGGAGCTCTAGGATCCTCTCAATTAGCGACTGAAATATATCAAATCAATGTGATATGTGAAATACCCCAGTCTGAGGGTTTCAGAGGAGGGCTTCTCTTAATGCCCTGAAGGTGGAAGTTAAGCGCTGAGAGATCCCCAGGGACCAGTGAGGCTGGTGCATCTGCAGCTTGTAGTTTTTTTCTGTCTTCACTGTGAATATTCTCTTAATTACTTCACATCTTCACATCAGATGCCCCTGCCCTGCCTGGAGATGTCCCAGGGGCTGTTTACGATGATGCCAGAGAAGTGTCTGTCCCTGAAGGTGGCCCTGGCTTGGGGCAGAATGATGAAAAAGGCACTGGGGCAAGTGACAGGGATGCACAGACAGGTGAGTGGAGAATTGTTTGCACTTCACAGTGTCTCTGCAGAGTCGGGTAGCTGGAAATGTGGGGTACACAGCAAGGGAACAGCCCTGGCCAACCCAACGCCTGTGAGAAAAACTCTCCTTCTCTCATCTCTCCATTCCCTCAAGGAAGAGGCTTCAGTGCCTGAAATAGAGAGAGGAAAAGTAGGATCTGTCCTGGGTGGTACTTCCTGGTCAAACCAGCAAGATAGCTCGAATTCCCTCAAGCTCTAGGTTCAAATCCTTGGGTGGCTGCCCTACTCTTGATGTACTGGATTCCTACCTATTTACTGAACGTGTATCTTTTGGGCAGAATCTTATAAACCAAAGTCATGTTACTGCTGCACAAATGCTAAAGAGCCCATGACACTTCCTGTAAAAGTCGGGCTTAGCCCATTATCCTTGGCCTAAATTTCCACTCCCCTCCCTGTTGTGCCACGAGCAGAGGAGGTGCAGTGGTGATGAAAAGTGCGTTGCTTAGTACTGGATGCTTATCTTCATTGTTGGGGAAGAGTGACAGTTCTGATGTCCTTAAGTAAGTGCTCCTGGCTGGTAAGTGCTTGGGATTTTTTTCACCAATGTACAGGTAGCTATAGCTGGCACTGGGCAGTGTTAGCTGGTCTGGAAACCAAAGGTTTTAATTTCTAGACTATGTATCGAGATGATGGATTAGAACTTGTTCTAGACCAAGCCAGAAGACTGAAGGGGGAACAATTCCTAACCCACACCGTAGAGCAAAGGTTCTCAAACCGTGGAGCATGGAATATATTCTGGGGCAGCATGAGAAGCCAGGGCAGAGAGCAGCGGCTCCTTTCCAGGTGCCCAGCTTCGAAGGCAGCGCCGCCACCAGCAGCAGCGCAGAAGTAAGGATGGCAGCGTATGGTGTTGCCACTCTTACTTCTCCGCTGCTGCTGGCGGTAGTCCTGCCTTCAGAGCTTGACGGCCAGGGAGCTATGTACTTAGATGGCTCTTTGTGACTCAATGCCCGACTGCTGTTCATATTTAGTGAGAGTTGCACGTTGATTTTTGTAAATCGGTAGATGTACTTGTGTGGTGGGGGTGGGAGGCATCAACTGCAATGGACACAAAGAAGGAGGGTGATCAAATAAGTTTGAGAACCACTGCTGTAAACGCCGCCTTGCTCTGCTGCTGCCCATCACCATAGAGTGGATCCACTGACTGTATGTGTCTCCCTTGGTATTTTCAGGTGGGAGTCTGCACTCGTGAAGGAGTGAAGGTGTATCTGGGATGGAGAAGGAAACCCTGTTCCTGCCTCTGGGAGACACTGGTTATGATGATGTGGGACATTGTGACTCTGGGGGATCAATATCAGAACAATGTGATTGGACAAAATAACCTTGCGCTGATGTAAACGCTTCGCCTCTTTCTCTTAGAAATGCTCCCTCTGTTCTGATGGTCCAGAGACAGTCCCTTCCAGTTTGATAGACAAAGCATGTGTTTTTATAAGATTTGTGTGAAGTTGCAAGAAATACAAGTGTGAGAGGGAAAAGATTCATAAACTTTCTTTGTATAATTTTCCATTGTTTAAGGGGGTGGAAGTTTCCTGCGTTTTTATGCCTGTAATTTCTTCATCTTGAATTTGTGCCTTTTTGCATATTAAATCCTTTCTGAAAGTCTTCCCTGTTGTGGAAGTGTTTCTTGCCAGATGAATTGTGCAGTTTCCAGGGTTCATCACAGGGAGAGGCTGAGATACAACAAACCAGGAGACAAGGGTGGGCCACCTCTGGGTATGGCCAGCTGTTTGATGGGAGGTGAGTTTTCACTGAATGTTCTATCAGGCATGTGGTAAAAGTGAGACACAAGCAAGAGAACATTCTGAGATGAGCAACATAGTTGTTACTAAACCTAATTCAGATCTGAAACTTTCCCTGAATCCAAGGAGATAAATGGGAAATTCTCTCTGGGTAATTCACACCTGAACGGAAGGAAATGGCAAAAAGAATTCCCGATTAGCGATAAATACAGAGGATGAATATTTCTGCTAGGACAAAAAATAAATTGAAAAGAAAATAATGACAAGAGGAGGGTTAATAAGAATCTGGGTTTCCACTGAAGCAATAAGGCTAAAACAAGTTACAAGTCACTGAGTTGTTACTAGAAACCCCAGTAAAACCGATCGTTTTCACACAGTGGAATATTTATTTCCATGACAATCTACTAATACAGTTTAAAGTCAATGCTGAGCTGAGTACTAACTAGTGGAGAAGCCAGAAGTATTCTCTGGATGAACCCTCAGTGAAATCAATACCAGAATACCCACAGAGTACATCACTATTTCACAGAAATATCTTTCTTTTCTTCACCACCAATCCTGCGTGCAATTTGGTCACTTCATCTGTAGAAGGATAGAATGGAAATAGAAATGATGAGAGAAGGAGTTTCCAATCATCTGCATTCAACAGGGTCAGGGGTCATATGAAGACACAGAAATACAGCAATTTACTTTCGAAAAGAGAAAAATTAAAAAGACATGACTGAGACATGTAACTGACCCGTGGAGACTGAGGAGGGAAATCTCAGGGGCTGTGTTACCCTGTTCCAGGGCAAAGAGAGGAGGAGAACTCCCCCCAAAATGACACCTGCAGATCCTGGAGAAAAGGAAAGAGAACAGGGACAGCAGCAGGTGAAGGTGACTGAGTAGGCGATCCCCTTGTATAAGTGGGGGATGTTATGGAGATATTGTGATCTGGATCATAGAATCATAGAATCATAGAATATCAGGGTTGGAAGGGACCTCAGGAGGTCATCTAGTCCAACCCACTGCTCAAAGCAGGACTGATCCCTGACTAAATCATCCCAGCCAGGGCTTTGTCAAGCCTGACCTTAAAAACTTCTAGGGAAGGAGATTCCACCACCTCCCTAGGTAACGCATTCCAGTGTTTCACCACTCTCATAGTGAAAAAGTTTTTCCTAATATCCAACCTAAATCTCCCCCGCTGCAACTTGAGACCATTGCTCCTTGTTCTGTCATCTGCTACCACTGAGAACAGTCTACAGCCATCCTCTTTGGAACCCCCTTTCAGGTAGTTGAAAGCAGCTATCAAATCCCCCCTCATTCTTCTCTTCTGAAGGATAAACATCCCCAGTTCCCTCAGCCTCTCCTCATAAATCATGTGTTCCAGTCCCCTAATAATTTTTGTTGCCCTCCTCTGGACTCTTTCCAATTTTGCCACATCCTTCTTGTAGTGTGGGGCCCAAAACTGGACACAGTACTCCAGATGAGGCCTCACCAATGTCCAATAGAGGGGAACGATCACGTCCCTCGATATGCTGGCAATGCCCCTACTTATACATCCCAAAATGCCATTGGCCTTCTTGGCAACAAGGGCACACTGTTGACTCATATCCAGCTTCTCATCCACTGTAACCCCTAGGTCCTTTTCTGCAGAACTGCTGATGAGCCATTCGGTCCCTAGTCTGTAACGGTGCATTGGATTCTTCCATCCTAAGTGCAGGACTCTGCACTTGTCCTTGTTGAACCTCATCAGATTTCTTTTGGCCCAATCCTCCAATTTGTCTAGGTCCCTCTGTATCTTATCCCTACCCTCCAGTGTATCTACCACTCCTCCCAGTTTAGTGTCATCTGCAAACTTGCTGAGGGTGCAATCCACACAATCCTCCAGATCATTTATGAAGATATTGAACAAAACCGGCCCCAGGACTGACCCCTGGGGCACTCCACTTGATACCGGCTGCCAACTAGACATGGTGCCATTGATCACTATCCATTGAGCCCGACAATCTAGCCAACTTTCTATCCACCTTATCGTCCATTCATCCAGCCCATACTTCTTTAACTTGCTGGCAAGAATACTGTGGGACACCGTGTCAAAAGCTTTGCTAAAGTCAAGGAACAACACGTCCACTGCTTTCCCCTCATCCACAGAGCCCGTTATCTCATCATAGAAGGCAATTAGATTAGTCAGGCATGACTTGCCCTTGGTGAATCCATGCTGACCCTGATCACTTTCCTCTCCTCTAAGTGCTTCAGAATTGATGCCTTGAGGACCTGCTCCATGATCACTTGGATCACTCTGTAAGCTGGGTCCATTCAAACACTGAGCTTTAATAAAATGCAAGGTGGTATTTCTGTGACTCGGAAGAGGATTTAGGTGTCATAGTGGACAGACAACTCAGCATGAAATCTCAGTGCCATGCTGTGGCCAAAAGGACCAACGCCATCTTTGGATATTTTCACAGGGTCAATTCACTGCACGTGGTGCCTCCTCCTGGCAGCTCTGGGGATTAGCTCTTGCCAGGCACTACCCTTCTCTGATGGTGTCTCTACCTGTCATCTCTTTCACCCTATGGCCCCTCTCACTCTTAGAGCGGCAGCTTCCTTTTAGTGACCTGGCCAGAGGGCTGGGCCACAAAGGTTCTCCCCTTCCAGGGAATTCAAAGTCCTTGTGGACGAGCTGTCCAGCTGGCATCCCCAGCACCCTGGGCCACTTCCCAGTGGCTAATAGGGAACCTGGGCCTGCCTCTGCACTGGCTTCCAGCCATGCAACCCTCTAACAAGCATCCAAGGGCTGTATGGTCCTACTCCATGCTGCAGTTTTCCTGGGCTTCTTCCTACCTATCTGGATTCCCCCTTTCTGGCTCCTACGCGTAGGGGCAGCTAGGGGGCTCTGCACACTGCCCCCACCCCAAGCGCCACCCCCACAGCTCAACATTGGCTGGGAACTGTGGCCAACGGGAGCTGCGGGGGCAGTGCTCCCTGGCTGCTCCTATGCACAGGAGCCAGAGGAAGGACATGTCACTGTTTCTGGGAGCTGCTTTAGGTAAGAGTGGCTCAGAGCCTGCACCCCTGACCCCCCTCCCATGCCCCAACCCCCTGGCCCAGCCCTGGTCCCCCTCCCACCCTCCAAAGCCCTCAGACCCAACCAAGAGCCCCTTGGCCCGGTGGGGAGGGGCACCCGAGACCCCCGAGACCCGGCAGGACATCGGCTCCATCATTGCCGAGGCCCCTGGCCGCCCGGCACCTGAAACCACCTCTCCTCCTGCTTGATCCACTGCTACTCCCACCCGGGCCCAAGGAACACCTCCCCTACAACGCCTAGACGAGCGAGGGAGCCCCGCCCTCGCTTCTAACAATCTGGCAGAGCCAATGGAGGAGGGTGCAGCAAAGATACTACCGGGCGTGGGAAAGGGCCCGCCCCAAGGGGAACCCTCCCTCCCTCATGCTGCCTCACCGTTACCCCCCCGAGCCCCTGAGCCACCGCCTCTGCCCCTCCGACACGACCCCTGCTAACCAGCCGCCAGACGATGCTATGGAGGGCTGGACTCTAGTCCAGGGGAAGCAAGGCAAGCGGAAGGCTCGAGCTCCGCTTTATCCATCTGATGCGGAGGCCCCGCGGAAAACCAGGAAGGAGGGCACTGACACTGAGCCTTCCGCTCTGCCCACGAGTGAGATCCATCTGCCGGTGTCGGGTGGGGAAGACACGATAGCACTGGAAGGTAGGATCTCCCCTCCACGGGAGACCCTCCCCTCTGAGACCCCTGAGGAAGCCCCTTCTGCCCGGACATCACCCAAAACCTCCGCAAACCCCGAGGCGACCGTTGAGGCAGCGCCAGAGGGGAGACCCCCAGGGTGGTGGAAGGCGACCTCTCCTCCATGTATGAGGAGATCGAGGCCCTAGGTCTGACCTCGGTCACCCAGGGAGAGGATGACCTTCTGCCGGCTGGCCTCGATCTGGGCAACCTCACTCCAGTCCCCCTTTCCCCATGCTCCCTCCCCCTAACCGCCTTCCTGGGTGGGGACCCTACAGAAGGCAGTCCACCATCTGATGCTGTAGCTGCCAAATCCACCACAGAGCTTGCTCCTGGCATCACTGGGAGCCCCCTCCCCACCTGCTTAACCCTCGAATCTGATCGGGAGACGCCACCTTTCAGCTGCTTGCCTCCCGAAGCCCAGAACCTCGCCTCTGCCCCTGCCCCTACCCCTGTCCCTGCCCAATCCACCTCCTCCTGTAATGCTATTAGAAAAGGAGTACTTGTGGCACCTTAGAGACTAACCAATTTATTTGAGCATAAGCTTTCGTGAGCTACAGCTCACTTCATCGGATGCATACTGTGGAAAATACAGAAAATGTTTGTTTTTATACACACAAATCATGAAAAAAATGGGTGTTTAGAGTGGGGTGGGGGGAGAGAAAACCTTTTGTAGTGATGAACACTCATTTTTTCATGATTTGAGTGTATAAAAA